TTTCAAAAATGTTGGCAGAGTTTTGGGATTTTCAAATACCTGAATTTTCAGAAATCGGGTAAATTTCTCTCTCTTGCCTCACTCTTGATTTTTCTTGATTTTCTTTCCCCATTATAGAAGATGGTCAACATGCAAGCCGAAACAAATAAATGTACAAGTAGCACGTAATCGCTTTTAATTATGTATTTAAATCGATTTTTAGTATTTATGAAGTTATTTCTTAAAAACGTTACGATGTCGTACACTTATCGTTTGGTACACATTGCAAAACGCGCCATGTGAAACGCACCCGCGATTTATAACATATTTATTATTATTATTTGAAGTTATGGTCAAGTCGCGTGAAACGCACACTCGAATTAAGATTTACTTATCGTGACCATGCCACGGGAACCGTACCCATGGCCACGATAATTAATTAATCGTGCCTAAAGCAAGCTACGAAATTTATGAATTATTTGTCTTAAACTAATTTGAGATTTGTAAAGCCATAAGAGTATGTCATTGTAGAAAAGCATGAAATAGATTAAATTAATTATTCAAGAACTACAAAAGGGGGCCATTGTATGAGATTAATGGGCCTACCAGATTTCAAGTTTTGGCCCAAAAATAAAATAACTTTCTTCCTTAGCTTATAGTAACCTCACAACTCCACTTCCTTCAACAACCCACGCGTCTAGGCCCAAATATTGGATCTTCACCAGTGACACAATTCTAGTTAAACTTGTTTAACAATTTAACTCTATACTTTAGACAATTGACAGCTTAGTTTAAAACAAAGATGGAATTACTAAAGCTCATTTATTAATACATGAATGACTAAATAACCAAATAGAGACATAAAATTGCTTGAGCTTCCATTTCAATAAGAAAATATTTTTTTTACAATCACAACTCACTTATCAATTAACAAATTTCATTAAACCATTCATGGATGAACCCTTTTTTAAGAGAACATGCTAATGAACTAAAATAAATAGACAAAGAGGAAGCTCAAAAATTGGCATGTTTAACGGAGAATAGTTTCATTCATTCAAGATATAAATGAACACCAAAGAACACCAAAAGAAAAAGAAGCAACTCATATCATTAATCAAAATAAGATAAGAAGTGGACCTCAAAAGTTAAATCTAAACGTTACGGTTTTACAACTTTGAATCTTAAACTCATTCAGACCGCACGCAAGACCTCAAACGGAGCATCGAAACTCGCCGACGACCTCAACTAAAAACCTCATTATTTCGACTGGGTTTGGATGGTAGTCTATGGTATTAAAAAGGCTGTTCTATGGAGGTTTAAAGGTTATTTTTGGGTGGTGAAACTGCTGATTTTTTCGAAAGAAAGACGAAGAAAGAATGACACAAGTAGAAATTCCCTTATCCTAAGAGAAGAAAATAAATTTCTCTCATTTCTCTCCTTCCTCTTTTTTCTTTCTCTCTCTCTCCTTTTTTTCATCACATTTTTCTTCTATTTATAGAAAAATAATTCAGAATTTTTAGATTTTTTATTTTTTTATTTTTTTTATTTTTAATTAAAAAGAATTTTCACTTCCCATTTTTCTTATTTTTAAAAAAAAAATAATTCCCCACTTTCCTTTACTTTTATTTTTAATTAAAAAGAATTTTCACTTCCCATTTTTCTTATTTTTAAAAAAAAAATAATTCCCCACTTTCCTTTACTTTTATTTTTTAATTTCTCACTTTTTTTACTTTTAATATATTCAAAATCCCACTTTTTTACTTTTTTTTTATTTTCCACTTATTTTACTTTTCTTTTTTTATTTTCCACTTACTTTTACTTTTTAAAAAATAAAATCAGATACCCTTACTTTTATTTTTTAATTTCAACTTTATTTTATTTTTAATTTTTTAAATTTTCACATTCTTTTACTTTTATTTTTTTAATTTTTCACTTTCTTTTACTTTTTTTATTAAATAATTTCTACCTACTTTTACTTTTTCTTTTTAATTTTATATTTATACTTTCCCTATTTTTTAATTCCCATCTGAAATTTGTTTTAAAAAAAATATAATAATAATTATTTTTTATTTATTTTCGGTTTTTAATTCATTTTATTTAAAAATAAAGATAAAAATAATAANAAAAATTCAAATATAGTGAAAAATTAGATGCTCACAAGCATGTGTTAGATCAATATGACTTGCTCCAGTTCTTCGACCGTTGATTTGGTGGTGTCGGAATCGTTAGGGTCTACGAAAAACCTGGGAACTCCGTAGTCGTTGTCCTCGCCCGTCCCCTCCTTTTCTGGTTCGGTAGGGACTAGTGATTGCTATTTGGTTTTGGTGACCGAGCTCGGATCCTATGGTGTCAAAAGTGCGGATATAGGGACTACCACGTCGACCGCGAACATCTCCTTTGCGGCCAGTTGTTCTCCATAAATTGTTTTAATCCCCCTTCTCATTGGGAATTTCAGCACGTGGTGCAGTGTCGAGGGTACTGCCCACATGTTGTGAATCCATGGCCTCTTGAACAGAGCATTGTATCTCATATCTCCTTCGATCACGTAGAACTTTATTTCCTGGATGGTTCTGACGGTGTTCACTGGTAGTGTTATCTCCCCTTTAGTGGTCTCACATGCCATATTGAATCCGTTTAGAACTCAGACTGCAGGCACAATTTGGTCTTGTAGACCCAGCTGTTCTATGACCCTCGATCTGATGATATTGGACGAGCTACCTAGATCAATTAACGCACTCTTAACTCGAGATGTATTTATGAGCACAAATATTACCAGTGCATCATTGTGCGGTTGTACGATGACTTTAGCGTCCTCGTCGTTGAAAGATACGGTTCCTTCTAGCATGTAATCCTGAGTCTGTTTTTCCCTTGTGATGGACACTTTAGTTCGTTTTAGCATCGATCCCTGGGGGACGTCGACCCCACCGATAATCATATTGATGACGTGACGAGATTTCTCTTGCTCGGTCTGCTTATTGGAGTCCCTATTCCTGAAGTGATTTTTGGCTCTATCGCTCAGGAACTCCCGGAGATGTCCGTCGTTGAATAACCGGGCTACTTTCTCTCTTAGTTGTCGCCAATCTTCAGGTCTATGGCCCTGAGTGCCATGATATTTGCATATTAGGTTGGGGTCCCTTTGAGTAGGGTCGAGCTGTAGAGGTCGAGGCCACTTCGTGTCTTTGATGCGTCCAATGGCAGATACGATGGCAGCAGTATTGACGTTGAAGTTGTACTCCGATAGTCTTGGCGCTTCCTTAGGCCTGGCGGATCTGTCAAAATCGTTTTTGCTCATGAGACCCCTGTTATTTTGACTTCGGTAGCTTCTCCTTACACTTCTCATGAGGTTTCATCCAGACTCATTACCTCCCCGATCTCCATTGTATGGTTGATACCGGTCCCTATTCGATCTTGGTTCACGATCAATGTCTCTTTTGGATTTGTCACCAGCTCTGAAGGGGTAAACGGACCCGGAAGGGGCCCCAAGATGATCATCTTCGACCCTAATTTTTGATTGGTACCGGTTATAGACGTCGGCCCATGTTACCACCGGATATTCTATCCAATTTTGCTTCAACTGTTGTGAAGCCAATGAGCTTTGAGTATTGAGTCCTTGGGTGAAGGCCTGAATGGCCCAATCGTCCGCGACCGGAGGCAGGTCCATTCGTTCCATTTGAAATCGGGACACAAATTCCCTGAGCATCTCATTATCTCTCTATTTCACTTTGAAAAGGTCTGACTTCCTGGTCTCGACCTTGATGGACCCGACGTGTGCTTTCACGAAAGAGTCTGCAAGCATAGCAAACGAGTCAATAGAATTAAGGGGTAAGTTGTGATACCATATCATAGCTACATTTGACAAAGTTTCCCCGAACTTTTTCAGCAGGACGGACTCGATCTCATCATCCTCCAAGTCGTTCCCTTTGATGGGGCACATATAGGAGGTCACATGCTCATTGGGGTCAGTTGTTCCGTTGTACTTAGGAATCTCGGGCATGCAGAACTTCTTTGGGATTGGCTTCGGAGCTGCGCTTGGAGGAAAAGGTTTTTGAACAAACTTCTTGGAATCCAGACCCTTCAATATCGGTAGTGCTCCTAGGATTTGGTTGACCCTGGAATTGTAGGTTTCTACCTTTTTGTCATTGGCTTCGATTTTCTTTTCTCCCGATTCCACCCGTTTTTTCAGTTCCTCAAGCATCTTTATAATTTCGAGGTTGGTCACGGGTTCGGCTTCACTCGGCCTTTCTACGATCGGTTTGTTTCTGCGAGTGTTCTCCCGGGATAGTTCGGGCTCGACTCTGTTGGGGGCGCGACTCTGGTTCTGCAACTAGGCTATCGTTGCTTGTTGAGCCTCCAACATTTCGAAGATTACTCGCAAGTTGATTCCATCTCCTTCACCGTCGTGTGTATTTTGGGCTACCGAACGGACTCCCCCGCGGATGCTGTGCTCAGGATCGGTAGGCAAATTCGCATTGATGGCCCCATGTGAGTTAGCGTCGACCGGGTTTGCGACCGGAACTCCGTTGGGGTCGACAGGGGGCACCTCGTTACTGAGTGCCATATTATTGTTCTCGCCATGGTGGCCAGACTCAGCATCCACGTTCTGAGGAGCAGATTGGGAGTTCGACATTTTCAACTTTGACCTGAAATTAAAAACACTAAAAAGAATAAGTGTAAAACAGGGTGTGTTAAGGAGATTTGTATCAAATTATCACTATTATCCTTAGCCCCACGGTGGGCGCCAAACTGTTTACCCTAAAAATGGATAACAATTAAATTTGTTAGTGGTTTTAAAGATACGGGGATTAATTCAATACAAACGGTAAATATTGCTAGATTGAACAGATAAAAGATGTAATAAATTGCCAAACCACTCGAAAACAAGGGGAAGATGATGATTCTGGACTCGACGGCAGCCTCAATGAGATATCTGTCCTTGATCTCAGATTTATAGTAATGGAACACTGATCAACAAGTGTAAGAACTTTGAATAACAGAAAAATAATAGCATATTGTCTTGGTATGCGTGTTACAATCTATTCAACGAACAATCATACCCCTATTTATATAGTAGGGCAGTCCTACTCTAGGTACAATTTCATAAAAGGTACAAAAAACCTTATGTTTAACTAATCACCGGATTTTCGCCGGTACGTGCCGAGATCTACGTCGTGATACCCGGCTGGTCACAGATAGCACGTCCCTTTGTTAATCGTGTTCGGTTGCCCGATAATGTTCTTTGAAGTCTTTTGAGATTTGGATCGATCTCGGGGTCATGGCCCCCGATATTCCTGAAGGTGGGCGTCGTGTCCCCGACCCTGTCTCGATGAGACCCTTGCCTCGATTCCGACTCCTTATCATCAGGCCTCTTGCTTGATTTACCTTATCGGGAATCGGGACGTCCCGTAAGCCCAATTTCACCCCGATTTCACCCGTGTACAAACACATTACAAATTCTTCTGATACCTATATGACTTGAACATAAAGATATTTTAAGAATTCTTTTGTCTAGCGCATCCGTGAAATGAATTGCATATGAAAACTCTATATGTGTATGAAATTAGTTTGATAAGAGTACTAGACTTTATTTAACATTTCGAGTGTAGGATTTTCAAAAGATATATGTCGATACTTTTTTTTGTTCAGTGTCCGGTACGAGTATTAGGATTTAATTTCGTGTTGAAACTTCTTTGGAGGTAAACGCAAACTTTTCTCAAATTCAAATTAATAATTAAAAATTAATAATTAAGAATTAAGAATTGGGAACACGATTGTCATAATACTGATGTCGATATTTTTATTTTATTTTTTAATGTCGGGATAGATCCAAAGTGATGGCCGCCGCTGGTGTGTGTACTCAGTACACGTGTAAAGTTGTATAACCTGTAGCTAACACTTGTGCAGAGGACGTGCTTTCTTGAAAAAGCCACACGTGAACTATGCAAAGCAGGGGGCAGTATTAAATAGGGGTGTAAATGGGGCGGGCAGGTTAGGGCTGGACGGGCAAGTCTTGACCTACTAAGAGTTTTTGACTGCCTTGCCCTATTTAGCCTTTCAACTTTTGCCTTGCCCCACCATGTCTCGTTTAGACTCTCTTCTGTTTTTTTCTTTATTTTTTATTTTCTTAGTATTGTGTTTAACTTTTTAAAAACTTTTTGGATTTTTTACTGAACTTTTTTAAAATTGACATGTGAATAGAAGTTGCCTATGTATATCCGTTGAATAAAATACGAGTAAGACGCTTAGGGGTCGTTTGGTAGGATATATTAGAGAAAATAATGTATGTATTAACTTTTGATATTATTATTTTCTTGTTTGATACACTTTTTCAACATATGTATTACTAATGCAAGTATTAGTTATACAATCTATTTGGTATTATCCTATGTATAACTATTACATACCAAACTATGGTATTAGCAATATCAAGGCTATTAATGCATACATTAGTATGGTTAAAGGCAAAATTGTCCTTAAAATCCCTTAAAACTAAAGAATATGGAGAGCATTTTTGTAAACAACTAATTTTCTTAAAAATTAGGCAACACATTTTAAGTTTTAATACACCACACTAAGCAGTGGATAAAAAATTATCTGCATAACTAATGCTTGCATTACTAATTTTCTTAAAAATTAGGCAACGCATTTTAAGTTTTAATACACCACACTAAGCAGTGGATAAAAAATTATCTGCATAACTAATGCTTGCATTACTAATTTTCTTAAAAATTAGGCAACGCATTTTAAGTTTTAATACACCACACTAAGCAGTGGATAAAAAATTATCTGCATAACTAATGCTTGCATTACTAATTTTCTTAAAAATTAGGCAACGCATTTTAAGTTTTAATACACCACACTAAGCAGTGGATAAAAAATTATCTGCATAACTAATGATTGCATTGCCAATACACTTTATTCAACACTATTCTTATAGACCCTACCAAACGACCCCTTAATATTTTACACCAACTTAAGCTCTTATATCAGGGGTGAACGTGAAAATTCAGATCAAATGAAGTCTCACTCTTGGGTTTTTGATGTGATTAGTAGTTAAAAGAAAGTTGTTTCAATTTCAGTTAAGAATACTGCACCCCACACTTAGGGTTTGTTTGGAAAGCCACGTGCAATTATACAATATAGTAATTATTATGATCTATTTATTTGTCAGAAAGTAATTATAGTATAATTTTTATTGTCATATTTGGTTGAACAAGCGTAATTACATAATTAAATAAAAAAAATTAGATTAATCTATCGAAATATATTAAATAATTATAAACTAATAAATAATATCTTAAAAGTAGTAAATATCTTTCAAATGAATAACATTATTACTTTAATTAATTAATTAATATTAAAATCATAATTTAATTTTTTACTAACTTATTAATGTGTGATAAATACATGTATATATAAGAAATTCCAGATATTATTTATTATCAAGTATTTAAATTATTATTTTTTAAAAGAAAAATACTAAATAATTATAAATCAATAAATATATCGTAAAGAATTATCGATATCTTGACTATCTTTAAAATAAATAATCTTCACTTAAAATAGTTGAAAACAATTTATTTATGAATTTAAAATTTGCACCAACTCATATGAGTAAAATCTAAAATTTATGATTTGTTGTATTTTTTAAATAATAAAAAGAAAAATATGAGTCTAGATTAATAATTATTTTATAATTGAATCGAAACAAAGCTAGTAATATATGAAATTGTATTTAAAAATAAAGAAACAAAAAAATAGAAAATAAAGAAGCAAAATGTGAGAAGTTGCAAAATTATATGGAAGCACACCATAAGCAACATGTTACAAGGTTAAAAATGAGAATAAGAGAAATAAAAAAGAAATATTATAAAACAATAGTACTTAATATATTTAAAAAAGAAAAATAATTTTTTTAGAAAAGTTACATTACCTTGTAATTGAATTGTGTGATTACCATAAATTCTCACCTCCCCCTTGAGAATTAAAGAGTGACCAGACAAATATGTCAAACTGTATAATTATCAATTACATCCAAATCCAATTCCAAGGTAATTTTCCAAACAAGCTATTAAGAATCCAATACAATCAGTAAGATGTCATTGAATCAAGTCATTACGCACAGAACAAAGCACATTCAGTTGAGGGTAGGCTAGGAGAAACACATCAAGATTATATAGCCCCTGCTTAAAGCACCAATGACAGGATACTGAACAAGTTTGACAAGTGCCACCCCGCACTAAGTACCTTAATACAATACAATTAGTTTTGAAAAAAATGTAGGCAAATCAGCACCAAGGTTTATAGAAGCAGTCATGAACCGGTGAACGACTTAATAATCTA